AAGTCTCTCACCATTGCAAGCTCATTAATACATATTGTTATTCAATGTAAACCAAAGATATTTGGTAAATCTTCTTATTGCTCATTATAACTTCCCCATATAAATCTCTCTACAGCTTTGCAAAACTGCTCCCACCTGCTCTATATACCTATTAACAATGACTTGCTAAAAAAAGATAGGCTGTAAGGATGCAAAAAGAAAATCACTTTATTTCTGTACAATTATTTTGGCAGAGAATGAGTAAAGGGGTAGATTTATGAAATTAAATTGCTTAGGATGACATGCAAATGCCTATTTTAGAGATTTATAAATAAACCCTTAAATAGATCAGCATCAATTGCAGGGCAAAAGCCTATTTATGATACCTTCAATACCTTCATCAAACAGCAGACTTCAGCCAGACCATCTATATCTATCCGGCAAATGCGTGTCTCTCCAAATGATTTGTATTTTCTTTTATTTTGTTGCCTCTTCCATGATTTCTTTTTCTTTTGGTTCGCAGAAGCCGTTTTACATGATAATGCCAAGGACTGGAGAAGCATGCACACAAAGACTGGACTCTTTTTATATGGCTAACAATCAACACCTGTCTTTAACAAAATGTCTCTTACATTTCGTATTACATTACGAAGACATTTCAAAGACATCTTCTTGAATGTTTTTTTCCCCCCCGCCTTCGTATAATGGAATCAATCCTCATGTTTAGATTTCTTTGCCACTTTAAGATGAAAGGTATCTCTGATTTTATCTCCACATTCTGCCATAAACCTATTTATATTATGGAGACTTTGAAATCAAGCAGATGAGAGACCCTTCACTATAGACGAATAGATTGTTCCATCACAAACTTTATGCTTGATGAAGCAAAACTTATTTTAACTCATTGATGCAAAACTTTGATCACAAAAAACACTATCGCATCTTAAATTTATTTTCAATTACTTCTATGCATACAGGCCATATTTGTTTCTAAACTGCAAATTCCAGGCCAAATTAGTTGAATTAGAAAAATTCACCATAATTTGGCAATTCCTTTCTTGGTTCTCTGCAACCAAGTCTAGTGAAAAATGATTAAAGTTTTGCTTAAAATAATAAATAAAATAAAAAAAAAAACACCATAAAACCGAAATGCAGGAAAAGACCTCCAAGCCTTCTCTTATATACCACAAGTTATAATGATATGCAGACAATGATCATTTATTAAAAACAGCAGAAATATATTTTGAGTTATATAGAAACATTACATGTATTGTTAATATAGTGTGCACTCTCTTTTCATCACAAGAGAACTCGTTTCAGTTTATTATAGCTCATTCCATGTTCACTGGTTTTTGCCTTATTTATATAGCCACGTGCATTCCTGCTCTTTGTTTGTTTTCAAACAAACTGTAACATACAGCTAGGAATATATTAAAGGGGGAACTCCAAGCCAGCACTCTCAGTCAATAAATGTAGTCCAGTCTGGACCACACAGATAAAATGATGAGGAAATGTTAATTTCAGATAATCTATTCAGGGTAGACTGAGGCATCACTGAAAGCTGAGAAGAGTCACGGTTTATATCAAACCATTCTTAAATATTCTATCTTATAGGGGATGGTACCAGGGCACTTAAGGCAACATCCCCACTATAGGTCGCTTGAGTAATTATGTTGCATGGGGTGTCCTTTTAACCCCTTAAGGACGGAGCCAAATGTACACATTGTGAACAAAACAAAATGTAAACAAAACCTGGCATTTGCGCTACATGTCTGTCCAACCGTAATACACCTCTTTCATAGTAAATGCACCCACCCTTATTATATATCATTTTATTCAGGGGAAACAGGGCTTTCATTTAATATCAAATATTTAGCTATGAAACATAATTTAATATGAAAATAATGGGAGAAAATACGTTTTTTTTGGATTTTTTTAGTTCTACATGACATTTTAACGGTCAATGTCATAATACTGTTTGCTTTTACTGCAATAAAATACACATATTTATATTCAGTAAAGTCTCACGTGTAAGACAGTACCCCTATGTACAGGTTTTATGGCGTTTTGGGAAGTTACAGGGTCAAATATAGCACATTACATTTGAAATTGAAATTCGCCAGATTGGTTACGTTGCCTTTGAGACTGTATAGTAGCCCAGGAATGAAATTTACACCCATAATGGCATACCATTTGCAATAGTAGACAACCCAAGGTATTGCAAATGGGGTATGTCCAGTCTTTTTTAGTAGCCATTTGGTCACAAACACTGGCCAAAGTTAGCGTTAGTATTTGTTTGTGTGTGAAAATGCAAAAAATGCCAATTTTGGCCAGTGTTTGTGACTAAGTGGCTACTAAAAAAGACTGGACATACCCCGTTTGCAATACCTTGGGTTGTCTACTATTGCAAATGGTATGCCATCATAGGGTAATTTTCATTCTTGGGCTACCATAGGGTCTCAAAGGCAACCTAACCAATCTGGCGAATTTTAATGTGAAAAAAATGAAAATGCAAGCCTTATATTTGACGCTGTAACTTTTGAAAACACCATAAAACCTGTACATGAGGGGTACTGTTGTACTCGGGAGACTTCGCTGAACACAAATATTTGTGTTTCAAAACAGTAAAAAGTATCACAGCAATAATATTGTCCGTGTAATGCTGTTTGTGCGTGAAAAATGCAAAAACGTCACTTTTACTGGCGATATCATCGTTGTAATACATTTTACTGTTTTGAAACACTAATATTTGTGTTCAGCGAAGTCTCCCGAGTAGAACAGTACCCCCATATACAGGTTTTATGGTGTCTTGGAAAGTTATAGGGTTAAATATAGTGCTAGCAAATTAAATTCCCTTTACTTTCGGCATGGGTTGTCAGGCAGGTCCCGCTAATTGTAATTAATTAGGATACCTAATTATGTAAAAATATTACATAAATATATGTGTAGAATTAATATATGTATATATATACATATGTGTATATATACATATATATATATATATAATTTTTTTAAATATTTTTATTTATATATAGGTGTATATATATAGTGATATATACGTATATATTTATGTATATAGATATATATATTATTTCGTTCTACGTGTATTTTGATATATATATATATATTAATTTCACAAAACAGAACGAAATAACACACATCTATATATTTTTTAATTATTTATTTTTAATTATTTTTTTAATTTTATTTTTTAACGTATTTATATTTTTATTTTTTTTATATTATATATAAATATATATATATAACAATAATTATATATATATTTAATCAGTATCAGTCTACGTGTAATTTGATATTAATATATATATATAATTATATATATATTAATAGTAAAATACACCTAGACGGTGTATGTGTGTGTATGTATATGTGTATATATATACTTAGATCATATGTATATAATATATACATATGATCTAAGTATATATTATTTATTTTTTACACTGATTAACTTTTTTTAATTTTATTTTCAGCCAGCAGGGGGACCACCTGTCATTACAGGCAGCCCCCCTGCCGGCAATACAGAAGCCAGCTATCCCCGGCCATGTGATTGTGGGGTCCTCGCTAGGACCCCACTCTCACATGGCCGGGGGGCTTCGACGAGGACGGACGTGCCGCGGGGGGCTCCCTGCCCCCGGGTAAGTTAACAAAAACCGGAGGGCGTACAATTACGCCCGTCGGCGTTTAGAGCCGCCTATTAGAGGGCGTAATTGTACGTCCTCCGGTTTTAAGGGGTTAATGAGAGCACTAACATTTCAACTCAGTATGTTAAAAATATATATTTTTATTATTGACTTAAAGGGACACTCACTATAGTCACCAAAACAACTACAGCTTAATTTGTTCTGGTGAGTATAATCATTCCCTTCAGGCTTTTGCAGTAAACACATTTTTTTTTTTAAGAGAAAAGGCAGTGTTTACATTACAGCCTAGGGATACCACCACTGACCACTCGTCATATGGCTATTATAGGTGCTTCCTGGGGCAGTGCTGCACGGTGTGACATTCAGTGTCTCCACCTTCTACATGGAGACACTGAACTTTCCTCATAGAGATGCATTGATTCAATGCATTTGTTTGAGGAGAAATAAACTGCAAGCACTCTTAGTAACACAATATGTCCATAAGGTAATAGTTCAAGAAATTATTTATTGGTATGGTAAAAAAAATGTGAAAAATAACGATATAAAGTGTACTATAATATAGTATCTAAAAACACTGCTGCTCAAAATAAATGAAAACACTTGAACCACAGATACAGATCTTAACATCCAAAGTCCTAATGCCGTGAAAGCAACTAGGACCAGAATGTAACAATAAAGGGTATAACCAGGCCGAAGTAAAAATGAAAATGCCACAAGAAAAACAAGATAAAAATGTATACACCCAGATATAAATAGTAACATCCAATGTCCTAATGCCGTCAAAACAACTAGAACCAGGATGGAGCAATATGGTGTAACGATATAGAGAGTAACAACAACGGAGGCTAGCTCAAAATAGTAACATCACAAAAAAGGCGTAGGAATACACCTTTAAAAAGAAAAAAACAGATATAATTTTTTTTTTTTTTTAAATCCAGCGGTATATTAGCTAAATAAAAAATAGCGTGAAAAAGTAATGTCCTGAAAAATACATTTTAAAAAAAAAGGCAGATCAACTCTATAACCACAAAAAGGGCATAGGAATACACCTTTAAAAAGAAAAAACAGATAGAATAAAAATCAGGGGTATCTTAGCTAAATAATGAATAGCATAAAAAAGTAATGACCTGAAAAATAAATTAAAAAGAAAGGCAGGGCAACTCTATAACCATATACCTAAAGCAGCAATATATTGGAAAATGAGTACAATGATATACAAAAGTATATCCGTGGGGGGCCCCTCCACAAATATGGAAGCTGTAGTAGGTAAGGTTGGTGGTGAATTGATGCTTGAAGCTGTATAATGCCCAGCGAGCTCAACCCCCGGGTACCTGAGTCAGACGGCACAGTTGTCAAATGATGTTCCGTGGATTAGATGAAAAGAAGAATCTTCCAATGCTAGCCGTAAAGGGGGAGCACAACCAGACTGGTAACACGTGGTACGCCGCGGCCAGTATCTTAAGAAAAAGACTGCAGCAAGGCAGGTGGAGCAGCGTGCAGATGATGATGCAGGTGATGATCACGTGGAAAAGGAACGTCTACGCGTTTCGTCTCTTAGCTGAGGCTTTATCAAGACTCCAGATCCTCCCCACTTATGAGGCCTATATACCTAAATGGGAGGCATAATTGCCTAAATGGGAGGCACCAAATTAACCCATGCAATTGAATAAAAAAAATTGGAACATATGTTATAATCATATACATGACAAAAAACATATATATAAATAAAAATCAGGGGGCTAATATGGAATTGGTATCAATTAGATAACTATTGAAACTATAGGTACATGTAAAAGCATATAAATAAATAAAAATCAGAGGATTAATATAAAATTGGTATCAATTAATTAGAGAACTATTGAAACTATAAATACAAGTAATATTAGAAAGTGAGGGGATAATAGTCATTTCTTTGAGGAGATGCTGATTGGCCAGGGCTGTGTTTGCTTGTGCTGGCTCTGCCCCGATCTGCCACCTTGACAATGTCAGCCAATCCAATGCTTTCCTTTAGGAAAGCATTGTGATTGGCTAAGATCATAACTTCCAATGTTGATAGCCAAAGAGACAGATCAGGGGCAGAGCCAGAAGCAGCAGACTGGAATAAAGGTAAGATTTTACTATACTAAAAGGGCTAAGGGGGCTAGATGGTGTTTTTAACACTACAGGGTCAGGAATACATGTTTGTGTTCCTGACCCTATAATGTTTCTTTAAACATGCTTTGCAACTTTTATAGCAAGCAGAGTAAAATGTTGAATAGATGTATATGTATATCCCAGTGTAGCAGTTACCCCGATGAGTAGAGGGGTTTCCACTGCTAGAGGGCATCCTTCTCCTGAGTGTGAGGGGTATTACAGCATTCCCAGCAGTCAGAGAAGCTCTTACAAAAGCTAGTGTGATAGCTTTATAGCAGTTTCCCCCAATAAGAGACAAGACTCTAGATTAAGGATAAAGTAAGAACTGAAGGTTTAATAGCACATATTGGTCTTTTATACAGTTTTCTCCACAAGGTTACCGCACAGGTGGACCTTGTGGAGCACAGGACATCAAACCCACAAACCAATAAAAACAGGGTTTTACAGTGAGACACTCCCAGTTACTGTACACAAGCCTTGCCCTCTGTTTAGGAGACAATTGAGTTAATTACTGTACCAACTCAATTATCTCCAAACGAAAAACTACAAAGTTTTACCCATTTTCAGAAACACCCCGAAAACATATGGTAAACTCATAAAACTGACATCGCCTGATAGCCCTGATCTGGGGGAACAACATATTGAAAAATCACCCAGATCAGTTCAGGGGCTAAAGAGTTAGGTGGAAGTCTCTTTTAATCGACCGCACGCATGGTTTCATGCCCAAAATAGTTCCAGAGGATTAGGCTGTGCGGTCAGTCTATTTCACACAGTTAAAGTACATTAAAATAGTTGAATGTGGCTCTTCATACATAGAGGCATCGAGGGTAGCTGGTTCGGTATATTGTATCTAACGAACGGCACTCCGTTCGTGTAATAACTGTCGAACAGAATGAGAGGTGGAAGTCTCAACGGTGTTCGTGCCATTGAGTGTCCGATGTAAGTTCCATACACTCGATGACAAAACACTGCTGGCTGCATTCGTCTCCCAAGATGGCCGCCGCCACGTGTTCGTACATACGAACGCCGACCATCAGTCTATCACTTAGAATGTTAGGGTGTTTGTGGTTTTTAGAGGTGTTAATAAGGTCAATGGGGTTAACAAGTGCCATGCTCAAGGTCTGGGTGGTCGGTCGTTCGGTAGATATTTAATTTATTTGAATGGCCAATAGTAAAATAAAACAGACTTTATTCCATACGAATGGTTAGATGAACAAGGGATATACAAGTTTAAAATTCAAAGACAGAGTGTCTGTCACACCCGGCATCCTCTTGGCTGCTACAAGTGTCATTAATGTTATATTTATGGATAGTGTAGGATCTGACTTGACTACATGACTGCAAGGAAAGGCATACAAGAGGAAGTGGTTATAATATGTGATGAGTGATTGAAGGAACAGAGGAAGTGGTAATGAGAGAGAAATAAGAGAGTAATGTAGAAAGCTAGTGAGGTAAATAAAGTGAAACAGAGTACATTAGAAAGTTTGTAGATTAAATGTTTTAAAGAGTAAAATAAAAAAGGTGTACTGTGTCTTTAAAGTTTTAAAGATTTAAAGACACAGCGCACCTTTTTAATTTTACTCTTTTGAACTTGCAAGTGTTTGGATTTACACTCTGCTGCTATTTTTTTGTATGTATGCCCTTAAAATAAGATTTTAAAAGTGCCATTTTCCACCTGTTTTAACTTACTATTCAGTATCACTTTGATGAAATGTTTTAACAGTAAATACATAAAAGATACGTTGACAAGTGGAGGATGGAAGATGAGATGTTTTAAAACGGGGAAAGGAGTTTGAATATAGGCTTTATAAAACAATCATGGATTGTGACGTAATGGAAAGGAAGAAAACAATTATATGGTAAAAAGGTAAATTAGCTTATTATGCAGAAGAAATAAAACATGGGGTGGTGGTAAGTAAAATGGAAAGTTGCATGCGGTAGTGAGAAATAAATGGATCTCTCTCCCTTGTCTTGTGTCTTCCTTAACACACATCTTCAACTGCTCTGTCTCTTCTGGCATTGTCCCTGCTGACCTTAAACATACTACTGTAGTACCTATCCTGAAAGAAAACCATCCCTCGACCTGTCCTCCCCCTCTAACTATCGGCCCATATCCCTGCTCCCTTTTTCCTCAAAGCTTATGGAAAGACTTGTCTTTACCCGTATGTCTCACGTCCTCAATTCCAACTCTGTCCTTTACCCTCTTCAATCTGGCTTCTGCTCCCTCCACTCTACTGAGACTGCTCTTATCTAAGTTACTAACAACTTAATCGCAGCCTTCCTACCGCCATCATTCTCTCCCCTAGTCTTCAATCATTTAAAAAGTGCCTTAAAACCCATCTCTTTAGGAAAGTTTATGGCCTCCCAGAGTAACCTCTACCTCACATGCTTGTCTCTTGCTCTCTCCTAAAGGGCAGCACTCTACTCTCTCCTCCAGCTCTGCTTCACTCCCACCTTATTTGATTGCTGTTTCCTGTCCTATTGTGTTTTACACCCCACCTCCTATAGACTGTAAGCTCGTTTGAGCAGGGTCCTCTTCAACCTATTGTTCCTCTAAGTTTTCTTGTAATTGTCCTATTTATAGTTAAATTCCCCCTCTTATAATATCGTAAAGCACTACGGAATCTATTGGTGCTATATAAATGGCAATAATAATAATAATAATAAAGGAAAGAGGGATGTGAAGAAGTAAAGACAATGGGGCTGGGGTCATGGGAAATATATAAAAGAAAATAATGAGTGGGGTGAAATAAAGTAAGGAAAATATAGCAGAGTAAAGAAAGAAGGGGAATCAGAGAAAGGTGACAAACTAATAGCTGAGGTATTGAGGTACTTTATGCTATTTGGTCTAAGAAAGGCCTTGTACAAAGGTACTTACCTGAAGCAATCTAAGAGCAAACTGAACAAATGGTATGAGAGTAGATCATGTAGATGAAACAAGCTTGAATTGAGGAAACATAAAACCAAAATGGAACACCTACTGCTACTACTAACCTAGTACAATGGCGCCTACTCATCCAATTCGAGGCAAAATAAAGAGACTATAAATCAATTTCAAAGCATGCTGCCTGCTAGACAAATTAGGAGATTGGGAATTGCAAAGAACATTAGATTTTCCGCTCTTGCAAATGGAAACTAAAGTGACTATGTCAAAAAGTCACTGTAAACATGTGAGGGCTATCAAGAGGGAGAAGGGTAATCCCCTTCCTTTCAGCCACTGGCTTACCTGGGTTGTAGACTTCAGCTTTGAACCATAATTACTCACACTAAAATAGCAGGATGTGTGTTTGTTGACACAGTATTGTAGGAGTGAGGTAGCAGGAGAAAATGTACAGGGCCTTGGTTCGCAGAGCACTGAATTTGTCCATGGGTTGGATAGGCAAGAATCTCAATGTTCTTCTTGGCTGGTTGGGACTGGTCCACTGAGATATTCTTGGATAAACTGTAGAATCTAGTGTTGACCAGACTTCCAGACTATGATGCAATACACACACTTGAGCCTGTAGGTGGGGCAGTCAATTGTCTGATTTATAGGTTTGCCAAAACAATATACGGCCACATGGTTTATTTGTCTTTTACCAGGCTCTGGGTGTGTTTTTCAATGCTATCTTCTCATCTCTGGGGAGCGATGGTGCCAACTGTTGTCCTATGATATCTTACCACAAGTATTTAATGTTTTGTTTTCAGTATTGTAACGAACATGCAATGGCAGGCTAAAACATTGTAGTGTTTCTGTCTGTTTGCAATACATTGTATGCATTTTTCTTGAAATATTTTGGTGAGCAGCAGATCCCCTTCATGTAGGTGCATAAAACAAGCCATTCATTTGTGCTTGCTCCCCAGGCCAAAAGCTGCAAGCCTCCTGACTGAGTATTATGACTATTTTAAAAAATAATTTTGATCAGGTGGAAATATGCAACATTTGTAAAGTGATGAATAATAGTAGGTGAAAAAGGCCTACACGTACTAGGAGATCTCTTACCTGATACTGTAAATAGTGATGTCCCGAACTCATCATTGAGTAAACTTTGACCCTGTACCTCACAGTCAGCAGACACATTCCAGCCAATCAGCAGCAGACCATCCCTCCCAGACCTTCCCACCTCCTGAACAGCTCACTAAGAATGCAGCTTCACAATGAATGTAAAATGGATGCTGTCCAGGAGGTTGGAGGGTCTGGGAGGGTCTGCTGCTGATTGGCTGGAATGTGTCTGCTGACTGTGAGGTACAGGGTCAAAGTTTACTCAATGATGAGTCCGTGGCGAACCGGTCGTGGCGAACCGTTCGTGGCGAACCGTTCGGGACATCACTAACTGTAAACTGATGAAATAAAATACTCTGAACAGAACCATAAAAAGCTCTAAAATTGTCAAATAAGAACCACTTATATATACATTAAATAATAGAATAATAAAATACAAAAATAGTGGAATACAAAAAATCGGTGATTGCAATATATAGTTGTAAGAAAAAGTATGTGAACCCTTTGAAAT